AATATCGGGAAAAATATCGGGAAATCGATATATCGGTCGATCTCTAGTTAGAACCTGATGAAGCATAAAACATGAGCATTTAATAATAGCGATTCACAATATATTGATACCATTTTTGTTGTCAGACGATATGTAGTCAGTTTTGTTTGTTTGTTTAACAATATCGGTTGATATTAGATATTTGTCTGTGGGTGCTCGTTTTTAGTTTTTATATAAATTTTCCCATCATCTAATACTATATAGCAGTAACTTATGACAAGTTAACTTTTAACTTTATTAACTTTTAAGACCACTTTACCATCTTAGTCGTTTTAACTTTCTTTCAAAATGAATACGTGTGTGTGTGTGTGTGTGCGCGCATGTAATTTTGTTAGCATTGAAATATTATGATAAACTGTTAACTGCTGATGTCTTTGTTTACATCCCTTTGGGCCTTTAGTCCAAAAGTGTGCTCATTTAAAAAAACTCATGGATTATCGTATCTTTACTTCAAATATCTTTAGAGAGGATTTTTTCTAAATTTCAAAGCAATATAGAGCACTAAACTCTCACATGTAATTTTTCATTCATACTCGAAGCCAGAGGGCGCCCTTGCACAGAAAGTCCTCAAGTGAAACTCATAGAAGTAATGCAGTCATGTTCCAGAAAAACCCTTATAGAGGGTATGCATTGATGTCACTTTCCTGCCGGAACACGCCCCCTCAGTCGGACTGAGTGGCAGAAGAGCCTGCTGCATGAATGGATTTAAAGGGGTCATATGATGCTGTTTTTAAAGATTATTATTTTGTGTATTTGGTGTAACAGAATATGTTGACATGCTTTAATGTTCAAAAAACACATTATTTTTCAAATACTGTACATTATTGTAGGTCCTCTATGCCCCGCCTCTCTCAAACGCTTCGTTTTCTACAAAGTCCCTCCTTCCGACAAGCGCAGTCTGTCTGATTGGCCAGCTGACCCAGTGCATTGTGATTGGCAGCACTCGTCGGAAATATAACGCCCCTTACTATAATCGCGAGCTTCATCTTTCAAAATAAATGTAAAGACAGAGCCCGAAAGGGGAACAGAGTCTCGTGACAGACACAGTGATGAATATGTGTTTGCAGTACACAAGCCACGGTTAAGACAGCTGACTCCACTGTGATGTGTCTCTCTCGCGCTCTCTCTCTCGCTCTCTCTCTCGCGCACGCGCGCACACACACACACACACACACACCGCTCTCTCGCGCTCTCTCTCTCTCTCTCGCTCGCGCACGCACGCACGCACACACGATGCGCAAAACTCCGCATTTGAACAGTCAATAGCAAATACTTAAACTAATAACAAAACAGTAGCTGATTCAGAAGTGCCAGATTGTCATAGCAAAGTCAGAATTACCTCCTCTCCTAGGTTCACGAAACGGTCGTACATAAAATGCATTGCTGTTCTGTTGTAAGTAATCTTAAAGATTCCTAAATGCATCTACTTTCGGAAGGCCAAATAAAGTGCTTTTGCTTTCGCCTAGAAACACACAGCGTCTCCCTGACATGCTGCTTCAACACTAACTGCGGTTACTGAAACCACGCCTTCTTTCTTTGCGTGCACATTTGGGTGGCATTATGCAAATATTTCCACATAGTGAGGTAGATATGTGGGGGTGTGTTAGAACGAGCCATTTTAGGGGGGCGTGGCAGAGTCTTAACTTTTATAAAGAATATCTCTTTGGTTTTGAGACTTTAGTCTTTGCAACTTCAGGGATCTTATCTATGCACAATCATCTTGTAACACTCCAAAGAGAAAGGAAAACTTGAAATCGCATCATATGACCCCTTTAATTGGGAAACTGCAAAAACCCAAATAAAATACAATTTCCACATAGTGAGGTAGATATGTGGGGGGGTGTTAGAACGAGCCGTTTTAAACAAACGATTATCAGTTTAAACTAAAGGTCGTAAAGGTGCAAATTGTAAATATGCATTAAATTGTGATGTTTCAGTGGTTGATTCCTGTATCAGGTGCTCTATGCTGGGTTTTCATGCCAAACACTGTGATGCTGTATCTCTGCTCCATTACAATATTGGATTATTTGGCCCGCTTTAAGCAGATAATGTTTAGCCATGGTGAAATTGGATCTGATGGATTTAAGGAATCAGCTTAACAATTTTAAAGTCCCTGCTCATTGAAGCTTTTCTTTACTATATCAGTGCCAGCTTTGTCTATTATTGATGTGAAAGGGGTCTATCTACGGCACCTCAGCTTGGTTTTGTTTACTGATAAGTCACCAAGGGGATGTTACTTTGCCTTCTTGAACAATTCATAATGGAAGTAATTTTTTTTTGTTACGTTAAAAAATGGCAATAAAAAGCAGAAGGAGCATTCATCAGAAAGAATGAATCCCACAAGAGAACCTGTTTACCACAAGGTAACATGATATTTCTGATATTCGAAGGCATCTCCTCTAAAAAGACAAAAGTTCAGTGTTTGCTGTGATGTAGTTTCTGCTTTTGCTTTCAGAAGAGAGAGAGAGAGCATGAAAGCAAAACAGAAGATTTAAAGCCCAAAGGGAGTTTGTAAGATGATGACACAGAAAGAAGAATAAAACAGTTGCTTGCTAGATTCATAGTTTCTCAAATGTTTCTCGAAAGTTGAGCTGTGTCTACATCCATGAAAGCAAAACAGAAGATTTAAAGCCCAAAGGGAGTTTGTAAGATGCTGACACAGAAAGAAGAATAAAACAGTTGCTTGCTAGATTCATAGTTTCTCAAATGTTTCTCGAAAGTTGAGCTGTGTCTACATCAGCCATGTTGATGCACTACAACGGCTTTAGGCTGTCTTCACTGGATGCATAAAAGGGAACTTTTCAAATCCATTTGTCCTGTTGTCAGAAGTAGTGCAAGCACATGTTGTACATCAGAAATACAATGGGGTGTTCATTTAAAAATAAAATTGGCCATTTAATGTCAGTGATTCTGCATTATGAAATGGAACATATTTGTTGTAGAAAGCATTCAAAAGAATTGATATTTAGTATACATATAACATATATATACATATAGTATACATATACAATAATTTATTGACCATTTATCAGACAGATGTTTAGTATTTGTGCGTCTTGACTATTTCGAAATTTAAAGGGACAAATGCTAAAAATAACATTATTTTGTGTATTTGGTGTAATGCAACGTGTTTATGCAGTTTAAGGTTAAAAAAACACATTATTTTCCACATAATGTACATTATTGTTTCTCCTCTATGCCCCGCCTTTCTGAAACGCGTCGATTTTTACAAAGCTCATCGGTCTGAAAAGCGAGGTGTGCTCTGATTGGCCAGCTATCCAGTGTGTTGTGATTGGCTGAATACCTCAAGCGTGTGACAGAAATGTTACGCGCTTACCGTACTGTTTCCATCATACAGTCTATGGTTTACATGTGTCCCGGCGCGACGAGACCAAACCAATAAAACCCATTGCAAACAAGGCATTTGTTGCATCTAGTGGGGACATAATTACTGATTGTAATGACTTATACAGTGTTTTTACGTGTTTAAACTGTGTTTAAAACCATGTCTGCATTTGTAATTGGAGAAATGACAAACAATAAGCGCTACTCTACACTGCTCAAACTCGCGTTTGAATCATCAGTGGCAAATTCTTTAAATATAAAAAACGTACTTACAGGCTGTGAGTCAGAAGTGCCAGACTGTCCTTGCAAAGTTGGAACTGCCCCACTTTATAGAAACATTATGTCCTCTTTTGGAAGGCCAAACAAAGTAGTTTCGCTTTCACAACAAAAAGCACAGTGGCTTGAGTGAGCGGCGCCCGGCGGATTCGACAAAGGAGGCTTGCGGCAACCACATGTGACGACCCCGGGCTGGACTCTACTTCGTCCACGGTGAAAGCCAATCCGGCGATTGACAGCGCGAAGTTGATGTTTTTCCTCAGTGACCAGCACGGATCAGCTCTAGGCATGACATAGCGGATATCGTCCTCTTTTGGAAGGCCAAACAAAGTAGTTTTCGCTTTCATAATGAAACACACAGCATATCCATAACATGGCGGCGGCAGCAACAATACTGCAGCGAGAATAAAAGTTACGCCTTCTTTCTCTGCGTGAATATTTGGGCGGCGTTATGCAAATCTTCCCACACAGGGACATAGACATGTGGGGGCGTGTTTAAACAAGGCGTTTTAGGAGGGCATGGACAAGTCTTAACTTTTATAAAGAATATCTCTTTGGACTTGAGACTTTAGTCTTTGCAACTTTACAGATCTTATTTATGCACCAAGAGCTTGTAACACTCCAAAGAGAAAGGAAAAATTGAAATCCATCGTGACGTAGACATGTGGGGGCGTGTTAGAACGAGCCGTTTTAGGTAGGCGTGGTTGACTCTTAACTTTTATAACTTTAGTCTTTGCAACTTTACAGATCTTCTTTATGCACCAAGAGCTTGTAACACTCCAAAGAGAAAGGAAAATTTGAAATCCCATCATATGACCCCTTTAATAAAAACAAATTTTTTTTTCTCCCGGCTGTACTGAAAACATCCCAAATTGTAACTCCAAATTGAAGTGCATAGCAAACCATAATTTTTGCTTACTGTTACACCCCTTGGGGTTTGTTTAAATCCCTTACTGTAATTAACTGTAGCTAATTAGAGATGAGAGAGAGAAGGATATAAGCTTTGCTCTGTTAGGTCAGGGAAGTGTGAAGCATAGACATCACTTGTTTGTAGTTTTAATGTTTGTTTAAATGCATTAAGAATGGCCTGTCTGTGAACTATGGCTTTTATCTTTATGCTCGATCACTGGCTTGACTCTCTAATGGCATCCTATATGTATCCTGTGTCATTCAGGATGGCTATGCATTATATCTGATTCTCCTTGGAAGAGTCATCGGCAATGTCATCCCCCACACACGGCGCAGTAAACACGGGGGAGTGAGCGCCGTATGCAATTATCACTGCTACTTCTCACATCATCTCTTCATCACTCTCATTTATGGTGCTCTTTCTCTCTCAGGTTTGATTCGTCTAGAGGCACTCAGTGGGAGGAGCCATGACCGAGGGGGAGGGGCAGTTCTACAGCGTGCAGGTGGGTGACTCCACCTTTACAGTGCTCAGAAGGTTCCAGCAGCTCCGCGCCATCGGATCCGGTGCCCAGGGTATCGTCTGGTGAGTGGGTGGCTGGAATTAACAGAGTTATATCTGCCTCCATGCTAATGATGTCATCATCTCATTAGGCATCGCCTGTCTCCATTTGTCAGGAGTGCAGCCGATGTGTTTTTGTCATTGACCTGAATGTCTCATTAGAGATTTGGATCCCTGGTTTACAGCTGCTTTAATGCGAGGGATTTTACAGCTAGCTGCATGTCTAAATTGTTTACCCAAGCGCAGGAGATGGACACTAAACACTGTTTGCAATAATGGTGTCCGATACCATAATGACATACAGAAGGACATTTAAAAGGGAATTGAGGTACAATAGGACATTATAAATGTATAAATATGGATGTAAATCATAATTGAACCAATGATGGTAACTACAATGATGATTGTGATCATGTCAGTGTGCCCATTTTTCTGCCTCATTAAGCTCCGCTCTGGACACCGTTCTTGGCATCCCAGTCGCTGTGAAGAAGCTGAGCCGGCCCTTTCAGAACCAGACCCATGCGAAGAGGGCTTACAGAGAGCTGGTTCTGCTCAAGTGTGTTGATCACAAGAACGTACGTCCCCTTAACAGTGCACTCTTCCATTCAGAAGTACACTTTGAGGCTGCGTCAAACTAACCGTCTCAACTCGGTTTTTGTCAGGGCTGTCATACCTACAGGCTGTTTTTGCTGGAATGTCAGAGTTCTGTCACACTCGCTGGTTCAGAATGTCAGAGAGGTGATGGACTGAACAAGTACCTCTGACATTTCTCTCCAATTTCCTGTCACTGAACGGCCCATTTTGGTTGAGAAAACAATATGAAGTAAAAAAAATAAGAACAGAAGTTCCTCATGAACATAAACTGTTGGTATGAGCTAAATTCAGGTGTAATTCTTGGAATAACATTACCTTTAACTTAAAAAAATTAGAAATTATGTTTTGAATTTAAAATGGGTTGTTTGTATGATTCAAGAAATTTGGTGACAGCCATGAATGTTAGTATTGTAATTTTACTTTTGTAAAGTATACAATTATTATTATTATTATTATTAAATACCTATACTTATTTAAAAAAACATAATAAAAAGTATTATAATTAAACAATTTAATTATAATTTAAAACAATATGTTTTGTAAATTAAAAAAATTATATTTTTTCTTTAAACAGATGTTCAGCCCACTGTATTATATATTAGGGCTGTCAGTTGATTAAAAATTTTTATCTAATTAATTACACTATTTATCGATAAATTAATCAAATTAATCACAAAATAAATTTGACTGTTAAAATAGCCACAAAAGATTATTTAAAGCTATTTTTGTGTTAAATGAGAAGGTATCAAGCAGACATTACAAATTGTAGCTTTAGAAAGAAATATTTTATTTGATTCAACATAAAATATATTATACATAAACATTTAGGCTACAACGGCCTAACATAAACTATGGAACATAAAAGATAGTTTGAGAAACATCTCAGTATTTTTTGTTCATACAATGAATGTCATTGGTAAGCAAGACAGCTTTGTTACTAACAAAATACTAATTGTCTTCAAAATACCTTCTTTATGTTCCACAAACACCACTGTGTTGCTCAGAGACGTGCAACAATTCTGCAATGGCTTTAAAGGTAATCTCTGCAAAATTCAGCAAAAACACATAATATTGTGTTTAAAATATAACAATATCATCTTCATATTTACTGAAATCTTGATATTTGGGACAAAATCAGTACTTGTGTAATACTGCTCTCTCTGCTCGTGTATTATCGTATGATATAAATATGAGGCAAAAACTCATACAGGGGCAATTTTTGCACCAATATCTTGAATTTTATGGCATAACTGGACTGCATTTATAAAGTTGTTGCCCTGCATCATATTTGTCAACAGTCAACTATATGAAATGCAGTGTTGGGCAAGTTACTCATCAAATTACTGATTACTCCTTTTAAAATTAATCACGTTACTGTTCTGATTACTTTATTTCAATAGTAATTAGTTACATTACTAGTTACGTTACTTTTTTCTCCATGGAATTTATGAAATCCCAGCATTCACGCTCCCGATAAATATTTGTTATTAAAGCATCAACATTCACAGAACACTGTTATTTTTAACTAAAGCAAGCGGCTGCTGCATGCATGGTTTGGCATGGCAGAATGCCAGCAAAGAACGCTGCATTTATAATCTCTAAAAGACATCTCAGTTCATCACAATCTCACAAATCTCTGCTATAACACAATAAATATATGCATAATGAATCTTTCATAATGTCTACAATTCGTGTGTTATAATGAGAGGATTCGTGAGCACGCAAATTTCAGCACCGCATTGCTCAATGCTGCAAACACGTGTTATAGCCCAAATAGAAACTATGCATACGCTTGCACTTGTTAATCGTTTATATTTTATATTAGTTCATGTTGCTTTTGTGCAATAGATGAATAACAATATATTTGTTTTAGATATTTTATGTTTAGATATTTCTATTTTGCTGGAGTCCCGTGAATAATTTTATTCTCCCACATACCGCACACACGAGTATCTACCCGCCCGCAGCAGCACTCGCCCATCTTGTCCACACTCTGTTGCGTCGGGTCTCGCGGGAGCAGGTCTCTAATCCACTGGCACTTGACTCGACAGTCGTCTGCTACATCTTTTTTTACAATCTCGAGATTATAAAACACTTCATTCTGTCAGCAATGTAACGCGGCAGTAATGTATAGAGACCTCGGCTTGCAACTATACTCTAATTACTATTGTGAAAATTATAACGTGTTAAATTACTCTGTTACTAAAAAAAGTAATTAAATTACACTAATACGTTACTGCCCAACACTGATGAAATGTAAGATGACGTACAGGTCTGGGGGTGGGGCCAGTGCGTTAACTGCACTAAAATATTTTAATCGTGCTATTTTTTCATAACTAATTATGTTAACACATTAATATACAGTTATTAGTATGAATTTAAATAAAATTTACCTGTAATTACTGTTAATAATAGCTTGTCTAGAAAAAATACAAGTTAAAAAATAATTTCAAACTTTCTAACAACTATGAATTGAAAAGCAACAGTACTACATGACCTTTCTACCATTAGCTCTCTTTGATTAATCAGTTACCAGTAAGCTTATTTGATTACTTTATTAATTTGATAGCTGCTAATTGTCCAGTGACTTGCTTATGACTGAAAATCAGGTAGTGAGACATTGGCCTTTGTTGTCAAGCTGATTGTTATGTGAAGATTATTCCAGATTTATTTTCTCATCCTTTCCCTTCCAGATCATCCGTTTGCTTAATGTCTTCACACCCCAGAAGTCATTGGAAGAGTTTCAGGATTTGTAAGTTTTGAGTTTATAAATTCCTGGCGTTTATGCTGACCTTGTCATTTAGTGTAAGCTGAGTTTGTATGGCCGTAGGGTGTATTGGTCCTTTGGCCCTTGGTGTTATTAACATTCATAGTTTTGCTGAGACCACAATGAACACTCAAGAGGAACTGATGAATTATGCTGTCCTACTGCTGCATGTGATAATTATAGCTTTAGGATCGAAATGACATGTTATTAAATCAAGATTAATTACAACTCCTGACAACAGCACTTCTGTTGCTATGTTTTATAGAAGTGGTGCTGACTCAAAATATTAAGCTTGGGATCTGGGGTTGTTATATGCTAGTCAGTACTATGTATGTAAGGATAAGTAGAGATCATTTGAGCTGTAGGTGAGCACAGGAAACTCTGAAGAATCTGATTGCCTGGTTTCTCTCAGGTACTTGGTAATGGAACTGATGGACGCTAGCCTTTGTCAAGTGATCCACATGGACCTAGACCATGAGAGGATGTCTTACCTGCTCTACCAGATCCTGTGTGGCATCAGACATCTACACTCAGTTGGCATCATTCACAGGGTGAGATGTTCACTGTGGCGAGTTGATTATCAGTAACGACAATTTGTAGGGGAATTAAGTAAAAACAAAGCTAAAATAATTAGAATAAATATTATAAAATAAAAACAAATGTTAACTAACTGTTATGTAGTTGAAATATGGATTTGAGGGAAATTATTTCATTTTGTGAGGAAGCTAGCACAGCTATGGAAAAAAAAATTTAGTGGAAAAAAGAGTTTCAAACAGTCCTCATCTCTGCTGCACAGCAGCATTGTCACACACAGTTTGCTAAACGCAGCTCAGTTGTATACGGTGCGAGAGAGATCGAAATGACTGAGACATGCGAAAAGAAAGTGCAAAAAAGCAGCATCTATTTCGTGCACAACTTGAAAAAACTACAACAGGTAAAGCTGTCAGCTGTGTGGATATTGGCAATATCGTTAACAATTCATTATAATCATTACTAATATGGCTTCTTCTTATCAAGATCTTAGTCTGTGCTGTGTTCTGTTAATGAGTGAACTTCATATGCCGTCCAGTAATCGCAAAAAGCTTTGTGCTTTGTTACTTTTTAATAAACAAAGTATCAGCTTTAAAATTATGCCAAATTCATAACTAAATTCAAACAAATACAGTTTTGGCGCTCTTTAATGCGGCAGGCATGATCGCTTTAGCACCTCAGTTCAAGAGGCAAGTGAACCCATTTAATCTTTCTCTTTACTACTAAGTACATAATGAACATGAATTAACATCAAAACGTAGGCTATTTTAGAAGAGAGCCTACAGTACAACTTACTGAAATCTGAGTCTCATGTAAAAGCTCATTCAGTGTTTCAAACTGCGGAAAACGTGTAAAGCTTGTAAACATTGCAAGTAATATACATTTAGGACATTGAGGAGGAGCCCAAACTGCACTCAGTGGCCAAGTGATTCTTATGGTCCTTGATATTGGTACAGATTCTGTGTAATGAACAATTCTTTTTGACTGTATATTTCAAGTTGGAAAAGACATTTAGTTCCCACTTTAAGTGAACCTTAGTTCCCTGGTCATCTACAAGATGGAATAAAATACGATAAAGTCAAGAAAAGATGAGAAAATAAACACATGACAGTATGATTTAAATGTTAAAATGTAAAAATAAATACAAAATAAAATAAATAAAACATGTTTATTCTGTGGCACCTAAAAAAACTAAGTTTTTTTCTTATTGGAGCCAACGGCTCCTTACTCAATTTTTTTTTGTCTGGAGCCCTGCATGAACACAGTGATTAATGTGCTAACTTTCACTCTACTCTACTTTAACTAAAACTACACCTAAAATAAATGAAGAAAAAAAAACTCAAACAAATGTGAAAACTAATGAATGACAAACATAACTGTAAATAGAATGGAAATTAATATTAAATGAATATTTAAAAAAACCTTACTTTGTGCTGTTTATAAATGTGTAAAATTTTAAGTAATATCTGCATTAATAAAGCAGTAACATTACAAAACTAAACATTTTGTGTCTAACGTGTCTGTGTATTATTGTCCTCTTGAAGTTGTTTGTAACATGCTGTTCATGTGTATTGCAAATTAATTGGCGGACCAACCAATTAACATCTCTAGAAAACAATTTGTTTAGTACATGCTGTAGCGAATCGGCTCAAAGCGGAAACGTGAATAATTAATTATAACTAGTTATAATTAATTATAAATATTTAGATCCGCTGTAAGTATTTACTTGACCTCTCAGTGTCAACTGTCTGTCAATTCTAAGAACGTTAATTTCGTGGTTAAGGAAAATAACTTTTTTACTGTACAATACTACTCAGAGCATGTAGCAAAATTCTGCATGATTAGGGACTCCAGTTATGAGCAAACAATGAACAACCTCAAGTGTGGTACAAATAAGACTTTATTAATTACATAAACACTTAAACTAGTCTATCATACACACACACACATACAGTTGACATAGGAAAAAGGGTTAAAGCTTAAGCAGTAAAGAGAAGAGAAATAAAAACATGAAGCCATGGTACCATTTGATATTCAGCAGATCTACAGCCTGAAGGAAACATCAGTTTCTTAGTTCAAACACACCTAAAAGGTGCAAATGATACTTAATGTATCAATTAATAAGACTAAGTTTGATACTTGCATGTCTCGCCTGTTTGAAAGAGTCCTGATGCTCTTTGGGGCTCCAGTAGGTTGGCTGAAGTTAGGTGATGAGAAAGAACCATTTTGAGTCAGATGATCTTGATGAATGGAAAGACTAGGCACAAGGCCTGGCACGAACTTAGGGTGTCCTTAGAAGCGTTCTAGCTCACATCCTCATCTTCTCAGAATCTAACCGAACCGCAGACTGACTGGCTATGTGTTGGAGCCCACCGGGCACGCCCGCACCGGCTCAGGCTCCAACACGCTTCTTAGCAGAAGAACAACAACAAGAACATGGGCGGAACTGTGCATGAGCCTTTTAAGGTCTGAGAAGATTCACGCCTCTCAGGATGGGCTTGTCCAATGAGAAAGGCTGAAATTCCAAGCGGGAGGTTGGAAATACTGGGGAGTTTTATGACCCTTTGTGTGAGAGCGTGGTAATTTGCATATGGAACTTGAATCAAAATTACTAAAGATTCTTAGAACACTAATATATTGCCTATGTACCCACATATAATATAAACACTTATTTAGATCATCAGAAGACAAATTCATAGAGACAAAACATGGTATCGGTGGGGCTATATTAACTAGTGATCTATCTTAACACACACACAAAACAGTATACAATTCAACAGACAACCTGTGCAGCTGCAGAAGGAAAAAGTTTAATTCAGGCGAACCGAAACAACGCCTGTGAATGCCATCTGCAAGCAGCCCGAGCTGAAATCCAAGTCCTGGCTCAGCAACGAGACAACTCCAGAAACCAATCGGGTAAAGTCAAACGAAGCCAAGGTGAATTCAGTGTCACAAATGAACTGAAATATGCTTGCAGACCACAAGGTGAACAGACAGGGAAAACACGACACAGAATTTCCCCTGACAAGCAGGTCCAGGCCCCCTCAGTCAAGAATCCGGACTGGGGGGGGGGCGAGAGCCCACTGTTCACACTTCACCAGCCAGCAACCACAGGGGGGTGGGGCAGGGACCTTTCCAGAGGATCACTGCAGACACACACACCGTGTGGCCCCACAGACCCCAACAAGCTGGCCAGAGACGATACAACTGGCAACCTAAATACTGCAGAGGGCCACAACACTTACCCACCTGCAAAACATGGACTTTTATGCTTGCACACTGCCCAATGTGACCACACAAGACAGACTATCTGCTCAGGATCAACTCCGGCCTTGAGGCACACAACATCCTGTACCAGCAGTCTGAAACTGTCAAAGCGGATTACAAAAACTACAACAAGCCTGCTGCAGCCAACTCTGAGTCTACAGCAGACGACAGAACAGGCCACGAGGGAGAAAGGCTTCAACTCCAGAACCTCCCTCCTCCCGAAATCCGCATCACATTGCGAGTCACCATCCAAGCGCCATGGCCTTCCCCCGCATAATGACCACCTGACATATGCGGAACTCAACCCATATGGCCTACAGAGGACACAGCGCTGCCTCTATATAGAGACTGTTCCGTGTGTGTGTGTATGTGTATGTTAGACTAGTTTAAGTGTTTATGTAGTTAATAAAGTCTTACTTGTACCACACTTGAGGTTGTTCATTGTTTGCTCATAACTGGAGTCCCTAATCATGCAGAATTTTGCTACATGCTCTGAGTAGTATTGTGCAGTAAGAAAGTTATTTTCCTTAACCACGAAATTAACGTTAGAATTGACAGACAGTTGACACTGAGAGGTCAAGTAAATACTTACAGCGGATCTAAATATTTATAATTAATTATAACTAGTTATAATTAGTTATTCATATTTCCTCTTTGAGCTGATTTGCTACAGTGCATTGGAAAATATTTCCAGCTACTGTTATCATTTGTATCCCTAAGGTTTGTACCAAATGTTTTCTTTAAATAAGTGAAGACCAAATCCAGCATGACACATCACCAGCTGTGTTCCCTAAATCATTTTACCTTGCAATATATCAACACCTGTCAGTATGAAACTGTCATCTCTGCCCCTCAGGATCTGAAGCCTAGTAACATCGTAGTGAAGTCTGACTGCACGCTAAAGATCTTAGACTTTGGGCTAGCCAGAACCGCCTGCACTAACTTCATGATGACACCCTACGTAGTAACCAGATACTACAGAGCACCAGAGGTCATCTTGGGAATGAAATATAAGGAGAATGGTAAAACTTTTTTTTTGTCAATAATGCTCCTGAAAGTTTAGTGGTGAGATCCAAATAAAATTGTGGTATTAATATTTGATTGTGTTTTGACAGTGGATATCTGGTCGGTGGGCTGCATCATGGGTGAGATGGTCAAAGGAAGTGTCATATTCCAGGGCACTGATCGTATCCTCTTTACTCTTGTACTCTGTGTATACAGTGGGTACGGAAAGTATTCAGACCCCCTTAAATTTTTCACTCTTTGTTATACTGCAGCCATTTGCTAAAATCATTTTTTTCTTATTCATTAATTAATACTTATTCAGTTTTTCTTTTTTAATAAATCTGCAAAAATGTCAACAATTCTGTGTTTTTCTGTCAATATGGGGTGCTGTGTGTATATTAATGAGGGAAAAAAATTAACTTAAATGATTTTAGCAAATGGCTGCAATATGACAAAGAGTGAAACATTTAAGGGGGTCTGAATACTTTCCGTACCCACTGTATATCCCAGTGTCTGTCCTAGTCATTGAAAGGTTTTAATTTTATGTGAATTTATCCTTTTTCACCTTTATCTCCTTGACTGAGTTAATCTCAGATATTGACCAGTGGAATAAAGTGATTGAGATTCTGGGAACCCCCTCTCTGGAGTTTATGAACCGTTTGATGGAGACTGTAAGGAATTATGTGCTGAACAAACCCCAGTTTCCTGGAGTCAGCTTTAATGAGCTTTTTCCCGATTGGGCCTTCCCTTCAGAGACTGAGCATGACAAGATCAAAAGTAAGATATCCAAAATGTTCTTCTTTTTTTTTCTTGTTTTGCTGTCTCCTAGTTCTCTGTTAATGTTGTATTTTAAACAATTGCATTGACATGTGACATTTCACATCATTCCTAATGTAGCTAGTCAAGCACGAGACCTGCTGTCCAAGATGCTGGTAATCGACCCTGAAAGCCGCATCTCTGTGCAGGAGGCCCTCAATCACCCTTACATTCGTGTGTGGTACGACCCAGCCGAGGCTGATGCGGTCAGTGCACCCCTATCCTTTCATGTCTCTTTGTCTTGCTCAGTCCAGTTGAAACTGTTTTATAGGGGACATTTTTACAATGCCAAGGAGGTTCTCTCTAGACTAGGATGTATAATGATTGTTTTATGTGTTCAGCCTCCTCCGCAGATATCAGACAAGCAGTTGGAGGAGCGGGAACACAGCATTGAGCAGTGGAAAGGTACAAATGCCCTCTGCTGTCACTACCTCCTGCTGAGCTATAAGCTTCTTGTAGAAAATGAATGCCTACAGCAGAAATGATTACTGTGATGAAGTTATCCAAGATCATTTGCATTCTCATTTATTCTAAAGTAATGGAATCGCTTTTGAGCCTTGACCCTGAAAGTTCATAATTTTAATGTCTGGTGAAGTGATGAATATGAGTTATTAGTGATTTGTAAAACAATGAAAAGGCACAAAATTATCTTTTATGATTTCTTTGGGTTTTTCCCTCACTACAGAGTTGATTTATAAAGAAGTAATGGACTGGGATGAGAGGAACAAGAACGGAGTGCTGAAAGAGGAGTGTTTAGGTGAGTCAAGTACAAATGTGACCCTGGACCACAAAACCAGTCATAAGGGTCATTTTTTCGAAATTGAGATGTATACATAATCTGAACGCTGAACAAATAAGCTTTCCATTGATGTGTGGTTTGTTATGATAGGACAATACAATTTGGCCGAGATACAACTATTTGAATATCTGTAATCTGAGGGTGCAAAAAAATCTAAATATTAAGAAAATCGCCTTTAAATTTGTCCAAATGAAGTTCTTAGCAATGCATATTACTCATCAAAAATTAAGTTTTGATATATTTACAGTAGGAAATTTACAAAATATCTTCATGGAACAAGTCCCCATGAAATCAAAATAAAAATTTTCTTAGGTGTTAGTATCAATATGTTAGTCTTAAGGTTATCTATAATGCAGTGTGCTCCAAAACAGTAATAAAATTCACATTTAGAAGATATAAGCATTCAAAGCTTGCAGTTCGTCACTTCCGCCAAAACGGCTCAATGATTTTTTCTGATGTCACATCGTACTTCGGCTTCTCATCAAACTTTCTGTCCAATCAAATGCTCTCTAGAATCCAAAGCGCCCACCCCCTACACTATAAAATAGACGCTGAAGCCATTCAAACAGTGTAAATATTGAGGAAAAAAAGAAGTCTGGTTCGCGTTGTCACACTAACCACCGCAAACACACTCTGCTCCGGTCCAGAGACACGATTTTATATGTGCAAAATTGATGTGCAATTTGCTTCTTTTGTGTTTAATTCTTTCCCTGCCATAGACAAAATTTTTCTTCAATTATGAGACGCTTCTCCGCCATTGACAGAATTTTCCAGCTTTCATGTTTTCACTGGCGTACGGTAGGAGGCGCTATTACACATCTTTCGCCTCGATCAAAACACGGCGAAGAAGCAGTAACAAGCAGTTGCATATATAAGCAGATACATATGTAAAATAACATGATCATCAAGCATTAAACAGCATGTAAATCAAAACTGCTTTTATAACTGCTCAGTAAAAATGTTACTGAATGAAATGTCGATCCAGGAAGGGGTGAACAACCATGCAAGCTTTGGATGCGTTGATGGAAGCGATCTATTCCATCTTTGTTTTGATCATTATACTGAATCAAACAGACATAGTCCAGACATAGTCTTTTACAAAAACGCTATTTTCTCAGCTTTTGGTGCAAAATGCTGCTTTTTTTCATGAAACTTACTGTGACATTACAGTGTTGATAAAAAATAAACAAAACATTTGTTTTAGTTTTAAAGCAGACTATTTTGGCATATTCTGGGGGCAATTAAACTTTTGTGAAAATGATAAAAATGCTGCTGGTGGCTGGCAACTAAAAAAAAAAAAATGCTGGTGGGGAAAGAGTTAACCGCTGTCGAACCGCTCTCTCAAACTCACTAGTATCATGTAAAACTCAGAGATGATCATTCTGACTTAAAATACACAAGGAAAATCAATACTAAAGCTAGCTAAAGAACTTCTGAATGCACCTTTAAGAGAAACTCATATTCTTTAGAAATCATTTGGTGGGTTTTTCCCTCACTACAGAGTTGATTTATAAAGAAGTAATGGACTGGGATGAGAGGAACAAGAACGGAGTGCTGAAAGAGGAGTGTTTAGGTGAGTCAAGTACAAATGTGACCCTGGACCACAAAACCAGTCATAAGGGTCATTTTTTCGAAATTGAGATGTATACATAATCTGAACGCTGAACAAATAAGCTTTCCATTGATGTGTGGTTTGTTATGATAGGACAATATTTGGCCGAGATACAACTATTTGAATATCTGTAATCTGAGGGTGCAAAAAAATCTAAATATTAAGAAAATCGCCTTTAAATTTGTCCAAATGAAGTTCTTAGCAATGCATATTACTCATCAAAAATTAAGTTTTGATATATTTACAGTAGGAAATTTACAAAATATCTTCATGGAACAAGTCCCCATGAAATCAAAATAAAAATTTTCTTAGGTGTTAGTATCAATATGTTAGTCTTAAGGTTATCTATAATGCAGTGTGCTCCAAAACAGTAATAAAATTCACATTTAGAAGATATAAGCATTCAAAGCTTGCAGTTCGTCACTTCCGCCAAAACGGCTCAATGATTTTTTCTGATGTCACATCGTACTTCGGCTTCTCATCAAACTTTCTGTCCAATCAAATGCTCTCTAGAATCCAAAGCGCCCACCCCCTACACTATAAAATAGACGCTGAAGCCATTCAAACAGTGTAAATATTGAGGAAAAAAAGAAGTCTGGTTCGCGTTGTCACACTAACCACCGCAAACACACTCTGCTCCGGTCCAGAGACACGATTTTATATGTGCAAAATTGATGTGCAATTTGCTTCTTTTGTGTTTAATTCTTTCCCTGCCATAGACAAAATTTTTCTTCAATTATGAGACGCTTCTCCGCCATTGACAGAATTTTCCAGCTTTCATGTTTTCACTGGCGTACGGTAGGAGGCGCTATTACACATCTTTCGCCTCGATCAAAACACGGCGAAGAAGCAGTAACAAGCAGTTGCATATATAAGCAGATACATATGTAAAATAACATGATCATCAAGCATTAAACAGCATGTAAATCAAAACTGCTTTTATAACTGCTCAGTAAAAATGTTACTGAATGAAATGTCGATCCAGGAAGGGGTGAACAACCATGCAAGCTTTGGATGCGTTGATGGAAGCGATCTATTCCATCTTTGTTTTGATCATTATACTGAATCAAACAGACATAGTCCAGACATAGTCTTTTACAAAAACGCTATTTTCTCAGCTTTTGGTGCAAAATGCTGCTTTTTTTCATGAAACTTACTGTGACATTACAGTGTTGATAAAAAATAAACAAAACATTTGTTTTAGTTTTAAAGCAGACTATTTTGGCATATTCTGGGGGCAATTAAACTTTTGTGAAAATGATAAAAATGCTGCTGGTGGCTGGCAACTAAAAAAAAAAAAATGCTGGTGGGGAAAGAGTTAACCGCTGTCGAACCGCTCTCTCAAACTCACTAGTATCATGTAAAACTCAGAGATGATCATTCTGACTTAAAATACACAAGGAAAATCAATACTAAAGCTAGCTAAAGAACTTCTGAATGCACCTTTAAGAGAAACTCATATTCTTTAGAAATCATTTGGAACACAAAAACAATAAAATAGGTTAACTGATTCAGTAAAGGTTTATCTCATAAGTTAGCACATTACTTTTGGTTGCCCTAATTTTTGATGCATTGCATTCTGTGTAGTAGACGGTACGCTGAACAGCAGCACCACTGCCTCACAGTCATCCTCTATTAACGACATCTCGTCCATGTCAACGGAGCAGACATTGGCCTCAGACACCTCACTTCCGCCAAAACGGCTCAATGATTTTTTCTGATGTCACATCGTACTTCGGCTTCTCATCAAACTTTCTGTCCAATCAAATGCTCTCTAGAATCCAAAGCGCCCACCCCCTACACTATAAAATAGACGCTGAAGCCATTCAAACAGTGTAAATATTGAGGAAAAAAAGAAGTCTGGTTCGCGTTGTCACACTAACCACCGCAAACACACTCTGCTCCGGTCCAGAGACACGATTTTATATGTGCAAAATTGATGTGCAATTTGCTTCTTTTGTGTTTAATTCTTTCCCTGCCATAGACAAAATTTTTCTTCAATTATGAGACGCTTCTCCGCCATTGACAGAATTTTCCAGCTTTCATGTTTTCACTGGCGTACGGTAGGAGGCGCTATTACACATCTTTCGCCTCGATCAAAACACGGCGAAGAAGCAGTAACAAGCAGTTGCATATATAAGCAGATACATATGTAAAATAACATGATCATCAAGCATTAAACAGCATGTAAATCAAAACTGCTTTTATAACTGCTCAGTAAAAATGTTACTGAATGAAATGTCGATCCAGGAAGGGGTGAACAACCATGCAAGCTTTGGATGCGTTGATGGAAGCGATCTATTCCATCTTTGTTTTGATCATTATACTGAATCAAACAGACATAGTCCAGACATAGTCTTTTACAAAAACGCTATTTTCTCAGCTTTTGGTGCAAAATGCTGCTTTTTTTCATGAAACTTACTGTGACATTACAGTGTTGATAAAAAATAAACAAAACATTTGTTTTAGTTTTAAAGCAGACTATTTTGGCATATTCTGGGGGCAATTAAACTTTTGTGAAAATGATAAAAAAAATGCTGCTGGTGGCTGGCAACTAAAAAAAAAAAAATGCTGGTGGGGAAAGAGTTAACCGCTGTCGAACCGCTCTCTCAAACTCACTAGTATCATGTAAAACTCAGAGATGATCATTCTGACTTAAAATACACAAGGAAAATCAATACTAAAGCTAGCTAAAGAACTTCTGAATGCACCTTTAAGAGAAACTCATATTCTTTAGAAATCATTTGGAACACAAAAACAATAAAATAGGTTAACTGATTCAGTAAAGGTTTATCTCATAAGTTAGCACATTACTTTTGGTTGCCCTAATTTTTGATGCATTGCATTCTGTGTAGTAGACGGTACGCTGAACAGCAGCACCACTGCCTCACAGTCATCCTCTATTAACGACATCTCGTCCATGTCAACGGAGCAGACATTGGCCTCAGACACCGACAGCTCCTGCATCGACACCCTCACAGGACCATTAGAGGAGTGACTCGAGTGGCATGCCCGTCTTCTCGCTTATGTGACATCCCTCTCCCTCACCTGTGCGGGCCATGCCGTGGTCTTGACTGAAGAAAACTGTGGGTGCACGTTCATTTGGCTTCAAGTTTACGCTCATGATCCTTCACTCTTGCTTTTAAGGGGATGTTTTTCCCTCTGTCCCATCTCGCGTATATCAGACATTTGTGTAATATTAGCCCTTAGACACATCTGTTGTGGCTAAAGTTCAGATTACACACCATCAGCAAAATCAAAAATCTTTATTATTCATTTATTTTATGTTTGTCTGCATCTTCACAGTTTTAGTTTAATTTTTTTTTTAAATAACTCCGTTCATAAATGGGCAAATAATAGATAATAGGTTTATGCTTGAATACATTCATGTTTCACTTCATATAAACTAAGATTAAATCATCTAGTGGCGTTATTGCAGCAGCATGTGTAATATCTGGATTTATCCCTGTCATTTATGTCCTCTCTCTCTCTCTCTCTGTGCGATGTAGCTCTTATAACCGTTCATTTCATCACCTAAAAGAAGCACAGATATAAATTCCTGGACGACTTTATAGCTAGTCAGCCCCTTTGGAATGAGTTCCTGTTACAAGTATTGCTGCATGATATTAACAAAGAACACTTTCTAGACAGACAATGGAACTACAGATCACTGAAATATGCCTAAACACATCTAGAAACAGAACTATAGTGCCTGTCTCTGTACATAGTTACCATACACCCATTTTAAAAGAGAACCTAATGATGCATTTCAGTTGGTTAGGGTGTAGTCGTGTGTATATATACGTACATAGATTTTGTGTAAATGTTCAGTTTTTCTTTCTTTGTGCTGTGGAAAGAATTTTACAGCTTCTGAATATGCTTTAGCATATGTACTGTAAAACAAACTATGTAGATGGAACTTGAAATCGATTTAAAAAGAAAATTGCACATAGACATTTAAAAGTGAAAATATTCTGTTTAAAAAAAAAAAAGAACAGAAAACTTTTAGATATCCAACGGAAAATTGTGGATGCAACATCCTAATCAAAGCCCCTATTCCTCATTCCAAGAGTAATTAATCACCGCTGACAAGTTCATGATGTATCTCGTAAGATTGTACGTTTAATTGCATGAGCTAATGCAAACCATTGCCTTTTTTAATCTCCAACTTGAAAAGCCCATAAGAATGTTGTACAAAGCAAATTTATGGTTCCTTTCCTCTTTTTTTTCTTCTTTTTTTTAAGTAGACTTGTCAGCGGATTTTTTATTTCTTCAGTTTCCTCTTCTTAAAGATGTCCTTTCAGTAAAACTGACGGATTTTAATGTTTGTATGAATTATCAAGGCCATATAATTTCATTTCCTTTATATATGTCTCTTCAGCCTTAGTTTACTGTTTACAGACTTGCGATTCAGTGATATACTGTGGGTAACCATGCGCTTAAAGACCTGTTTTGGACTGTGTGATTCAGTGCTATGGTGAACAGTGGTATTCAGGATGGACACCCCATCAGTTTCCTCAACCTCCCTGCTTTCTTTTCCCTCCAGTGTTGTAGATATGTATGATGAAGTGTCCTGTACTCATTCATTTTTGTGCATGATAACACAAACCCACTTCATCCCAGACTTGAGGTCATTGCAGAAACCGGTCTTCTGGTTGTACATGATTGGAGAGCCTCTGGAGGATAATATGAGTGTATTGTTGAGTTTGTGTGCCTCCAAGCTCTTCTGACTGACTGAAATGGGAATATCGGTAGGTAGATCCTTCACTGATGGACAGGACTGGAGGATAAACTTAGCATCACCATAATTTTCATGCCTTAAGCTTCTCACTATCAGTGTCTCTACAGCTTGGCCTGGAGATCACAAAATGATTGATGGTAATGTACCTACAATCAAGTTCTTTTTTTAGCAGGCTGGGATGTTTGCTACCCTTGCCACTTTTTCTGTTTTCTCAAACATCACATTTCCTGGTCTCCTTGAGCTTGTGAGATTTCTTTTGGTGCTTCACCTTACTGTTAGCAGAGTGATAATGTATTACAACAACGCAATAGTGCATTGTGTTCCATTCTAATTTCGGAGCCTTGTGCATATTAGTTTAGCTGTTGTGGACTCGTTGATTCCTGTTATGAACACTCGTGATGGACCTCTGTGGCACTGAGACCTTCAAGACAACGAACAAAGCTGGCTCACACTTTCTCAAGGGCTTACTTTCTCTTCTTTTAGGTTTCTGTTTCCCTTGGGGGAGAGGGTGTGTGTTTGTGAACAACAGTGTGTTTTTTTCACTGACAATCTGTCACTTGAGGTGGAATCAGTAATGACTTGAAGAATTATTCACTTTTAGGATATTCATTTACTTCTCAGACTATCTTCATAAAGGCCAATTCACACTGCACTAACAGATGTTGACAGCCAACCGATTATGGTTGTATGTCACTGCTCAGACATTCCACCCTCCGACAAACGCAGCTTTAATATGTTCAGTTGGCGAAATCAAGCACTGACCAACACCAACAGACACCAACAGGGGTAACACACTGATCTGACAAAACCAGACGAACGTGTCTGGTTGTCATGTCTGTCAGTGCAGTGTGAGTTGGCCTTAAGAAAACAGTTCTCATGGTCATCAATCAAATCCTGTTAAAGGAATAGATATCTAACTGCTCTGTGCTAGTAATGTCTGTTTAGCTATCATGTATTTTGTATTGTTGTGCTACATATGGGTGCCCTGTCAGTGGGCTATGATGGGAGTTACCCAAATCACAAACCTATCTGAAACGAATGCAAAACCTTAAATGATCCTCTGTCTACAGTAACAGAGTGAGACTTCTTTTCTCTGTGAAAAGAAAAAAATAAACATCTGTTACAACTGGCCAAATAAAAAGCTCAAAGTAATGTTTGTTTTATGTTTTATTTCATATGGTACAAATGCATTCAGTGTATGAACAGTTTGTGTTCAAGGTATGACTGTGTCTTGTGTTATCTACACGGGTCCCAATTAAATAAAATGTACAGTGACCCTCAGCCAGGGTAGAAACTTTTTAAGTCAGAGCTCATTTATATTAAGAGCATCCCTAGGGTCTAGATTTCATTAGAATCTCTTTTCTCAAATATGGCACCCATGCTTACTAGACATGACATTTTATCCTACTTTGGGTCATTCCATTGTCTTTGATCACTTAAATGGCAAAAAATTGCCTTTTGTATTATTTTGAACATGCTGGTCTGCACAGTCGTTCAGGCAACAGAACTGCAGTGGGGAAATGGTTTCCCTCAGGAATGCATCCTCATTTCTACAGCCCTGAAAAAGACTCCTTTTTTTTTTTTAGCAGTTATTACTTTAATATAGCTGTTTCCCAACCCTGGACTTGGAGTACTTGTAACACTGAACATGTTTTATGTCTTCCTAATTCAACTCTTGTTTGTTGGTAGAAACACCCAGACTTGGAATGGAGGTATCATATAAGAAAGACATCAAAAATGTATGCTACTGGGGGTAACTCCATGACCAGAGTTGAAAAACACTGCATTAAAACATTGAAACCTTAATATGCTACTAAGGTTGGTCTTGTAGCACAGCACATGAATGTTTCAAAAACTCTGAACAATGCGACTGGTTTTTCGGGCCTCTGAGTTAAGCTCGCCAAATGTTTCGAAGAACTGCTCCATTTCCTGTTGCAGAGTGGTGTTCCGTCTATCAGCGTCTACACGGGCTCGCTCTACATTTCTCATCTTGATCTCAGACACACTGACCCAGCGCCGCTGCTGCTCCAGAGTTGAGCACAGCCCTGCAACTTCCCCCTGAAGTACCTTGTTCCTCTGCTCCAGCCTGGAGACAGAGAATGGAGTAACCATACTGTGTTTAGGTACATTTATTTATTAATCCAGTGTTTCTCAACCCTGAACATTGCACCAACATTTTCGAACTCTTCCTAATCAAACATGCCCGATTCAACTCGGCTTGTTAGAGATTCAGACCTGAAAAGTAAGGTTACAGAATGTGTACTGTTGGTGTTCCTTCAGGAACAGGGTTGGGAAAGACCGCGTTAATGCAGGGGTAGCCAATCCTGCTACTGGAGTGCTACTGTCCTACCCCATTCAGATCCAATACTGCTCCAACACACCTGCCTGTAATTTTTGAAGTCACATTTATCTAATTTTTCTTGTTTGCCCACTTACCAAATTTAGTGTAAAGGCTGAACCTGTTTTTCAATCTGTTTAACTGTTTTACCATCACTGTTCTTGATTTTTACAAGCCATTAGTCCAGGGATAGGCAACGTCGGTCCTGGAGTGCCACTGTCCTGCAGAGTTTAGCTCCAACCCTAACCAAGCACACAAGCTAATCAAGGTCTTCAGAATCACTAAGGCTACAGGCAAGTGGGAACTAAACTCTGCAGGACATAGCAGATAACAATATTGCCGTCTATTTTGTTTTTGCAATTCCTGTTGTCAGGTACCAAGACTACTGATGAAGTTATCTTACCTGTTGATTTTTGCATCGTACTCTGCCTTTTGCCTGGTCATCTGTTGACGAAGCCCTGCAACAAGGCACTGCATTGCATGGGAAGCTGGAAAGCCCAGGGGCTCTTGGGGAGCATTTGGTAAAAAGACTTCGCTGCTGCCGGTGCTTAAAGGCGCATCTGTAGGAGCAGAGGATGAGGCAGGGGAGTTAGGACGAAGCTCTTCCTCTCTAGAGTCCATTCTGAATGAGGAGAATTGTTCTGAGGAGACATTGCAAGGGCTTGCAGCTCCACCGCTCCCACTGCCCCCATCCAAAGGCACGATCTCACAGGAGGACCAAGAGCTGCTGCTCTCAGCCACACTGGCAGTACCTTTGGCCTCCCGGTCTTCTATATATTGCTCCCCCTGCTCCTCAGTAACTATGTTGTCATAGACAGATAAGGTACTGTCCTGGGCTTCACTGCTGCCTCCACTTTCCCCTAGCGCTTTTTCTGGTCCCCAGCTGGGTTCTTCCATGTCAGGCCAGCTCCTTGACTGCATACATATTTGAACTCC